AATAGCACAGTTTACAAAAAGATGATGTCTCTTCTTGAAACTGAATTTATAATCCTTTAGAGGAACTTTGCAGTTTCATGGATCTTTTTTTTTTTTTTTTTTGGTCAAGCGGAGAAAAAGGTGGAAAATGTGCTCACTTTAGCTGTCACTGCTCTGTGTTTGATTTCTTGGACATGTTGGCAGTCATTTCAGATTGTCTGGCTTCCTAGAGACAGAAAACATAGTGCCTGTGACACCAGGTGGAAGGGGAAAAACACTTGAATTCATACATCTCATACATTTCAAAACTCAAGGAGAAGGCAAGGTAGGGAACACAAAACTGGGAAGCGTGTGTATGTGGAGGGTATGTGTGTCACTTTATGTATTTGCTACTATGGTTTAAAGAGAAGTGTGGGTGAGTGTAACACTAGATTTTTCTGCTCAGCAGGCTCTGCTTGCTTTGAATAAAATTCTTGCTTATGTGTCCTAAATCCCAACACTGACTAAATTGTCCTATTTGTATTCTCTGTGAAGTTGGCAAGGGATATTTTCCCCCTCTCAACACACACGATACATCATTTGCTAAATCAGTTATGTGAAAACCACATAGGATGTAATTCAGAAACGAGAGCAAAAGAGAGAGCAAAACACACTTGAGGTAGTGCCTTTCATATTGAGGTGAGTATGATGTGACTTCAAAGAGACATTCTGCTGAATTCTGACACATGCCAAACTGTCATAATCCTTTGATTGTGCAAAAGTAATTTCCCTGCAGAAGGTTGGAAGACAATATGAAGGTTCTGTTTAAAACGTTATAAAATAAAACACAGTAAAGACTACAAAAATAAGATGCATTGCTTTCTGCAGCTCACAAGTACTTCTTCACAAACAGTCCCAAAGTATCTATAATCATTTGTCTTGAAGTAACCATAATGGTGAACCAGTGAAAGTCCAAATAAATTGGAAAGAGCCTATTCTGAGAAAATCTCTATAGAAATATTTAAAAAGAGAAATTGCTTTTAAAGAATATCATTAACTTTAGTAATACCGCAAATGGAGTGAATTCCCATCATTCCTAGCTAGGCATTCAGACAAACGGATGAGGGCTCAAAATATATAGGGAGTAAAAGCAGTGGCATCACTAGAGGGGGTGCGACTTGCACTGGGTGCCCTTTCTGCTGTACCATTTTCTGGGCTTTCCATAGCAGTGACAGCCTCCTCACAAGGAGACCTTCACCTCCACAGCAAAGGGCCAAGCACCTCTCTCTGGACTTGCCATGGTGGCAAGGCCTCCTCATGGCGTGTGCCCTTTTGGCTGCCACCCCCTGGCAGCGGCACTCCCTTGCACCAGGTGAAATCAGGGGTGGGGATACCACTGTGTCATAGAACCACCTATGATTTCAAAATATTCCCCTCCAATTCTCTCCATTCCCAGTTGTGAGGCAAAGAGAGACAAGCTCTTCAGGAGTCAGTTTGTTATTTGGTGGCAATGGTTACAATCTGTTGAGTGTTCCTTCTGAACTCCCCTGCTGTTCCCTCTGTGTGAACATAGAGCTTTGTATGCCACTTATCCTGCTGCCCTCTGATTGAGGATACCAGAACTGAAGTAAGAATCAACTGCCAGACTTACTGGCCTCTTGGTGTGGAATGAGAAGGGAAGGGGTAACATCTTGTTCTTTATTTCAGGTAGAAAAAATGGCTTGGGCTGCCTCTGAAGGTAGGGCACTTATGTGTGGTCTTGCTGCCTTCTTCTTGAATAAAAGCAAATCCCCTGAAAGGCTCTATATTGAAATACTTATAGGCTTTCCATTTTGATTTTGATGAAATGATTGCAAGATTGGGTGGAAAGAAGAGGAAAACCAAAAAGAAAGGGGAATGAAACAGAGGGGAAGGCGAGTACAGAGAGGTATTAGAACTTGGTTGAGGTCTCATTTAGGGGGGTTGCAGACTGCCAGAAATAGTGCAAATTGAGTCCACTTTTAGGGTAAGGGTTAGTGCTAGGGAATCATGGGAATTGTTTTTTTCCTGAGACATTGAACCTTCTCTGTCAGAGAGCTCTGGTGCCACAATAAAATACAGTTTTATTTTAATACAGATTAATAATAAATTAATCTCAATCCAATTGCTAATCCCAATAAGATTAAACCAATTGGATCAATAGGATTTACATAAATGTTGATTTACCCTTCAGCAATTGATTCAATGGGTCGGCCCTAGTTTGGATTAACAGCTGGATTTAGGACAATGGGAACATCCAGACCCCAGGTTCCCCATCTGTCCTGAGTTTCTTCTGCTATTATCTCTAACCTATTATCTCTAAACCTCTAATCTCTATTATCTCTTATTTTGCACATAAGAGGTCTTCATGCTTGCAGTTGTATGCATAAAGGCTGCCCCCACAGAACTAAAACACTGATAATACAGTGCTGTGTGTAGAGGCAAGCTGTTTGTACAGCTTTTCTCACAGAGATGTCCTCTCTGCAGACATTTGGGCTGTTCATATGGATGCTGAGTAGTGTGAATGGACCCCAGGTGGAGGTCGCCATCAGAGCATGCTTGACACAGTAGTCACTTGACACAGGGGTGCATCTACTCATCATGGTCCTGATCCTCATAGACCCATTTTAACTAAAACTGGTTCATTTTTTCCACAGGGCTTCAGTGATGCAATTGTTCCTTCATTATCTCTTATTTTGCACATAAATAAGATCCAGGAGAATCAACATGAAACACAAGGAGTTAAACCCAGAACTCTGATTAGTTAAACCTCTTAACTGCTACATGAACATAGGGGGGATGCAGATGGGTGGCCGTGGGCTGCCCTGGGAAGTGGAGGTTTGGGGCTGAGGCTGCCCCACACCTCGGCGCCAATCCTCCCTTTTGGCACCTGGGAAAGGAGCATCAGAAGAGCTGCCATACGGCTCTTTTGAACCTCTTCCGGTGCAGCATGTCCAGAGCTGCACTGGGAGGACACTATCAGAGCACTCACCGTGTGCAATGGTGCATGCTCTGATGACGTCCTTGGGAAGGGGTTGGGGCATCAGGTGTCTGGCTGCTCCTCCCGTTACCTGGCTCCAAGATGGTGCTTTGCGCTATCTGCAGAGCCCCATAGAATAACTATTGGTTGAAATCTTATTGCTAGAGTAGACCCATTGAATCAAAATTCATGTAAGTTCCATGGATACAAAGGATCTACTCTTCTCAGAATTAACTCTTAGGTTCAGGCATTGTTAAGGAAAAGTTTTTCAGACTGATAGTGGTTTATTTTTAACCCTTGGACATTTTTGTGTAGCAAAGTACAAGTACTACTTCAACTGATCCACATTTCTGTATTTATTGAAACTTTGTCTTTCATCTAATTTGGAGGTGGTTGTTGATTTTGATCTCAATGATTTTGCAAAAATTGAGTGATTTGTGGTATTGGCCCAGGGTTTGGGAGGATAAGAGAGGCAAGGCTATATGTGATAGAGAAAAAAGTTACATCTACTTGGATACTTTAGACTTCTTCAGACAGGGCATAATTTCTCATACTTTGAACCTGAGAAAGTGTCTTTGGTTTTCTAAAACTTCAAATGATTTCCCCTGGACTGGAAAGGGAAATCAATAAGCTGCTTTAACCACTTTATTTTTTGGCAGGCATTTATGTATTTGGCAGGGATTTTCAATTCTGAGGCCTGCCAATTATCAAACAATAGGTTCAGGGGAGTTTGTACAAGAAGCCTCTAAACCTGAGGTTTTTGAACAAGAAAGTAACTATCTATAACTTTTTTTAAATGTTATTTTAGACAGAATTATATGACATTTACAGGCTTAGTATCCTGTTCAAAGGGGATGAAGTCTACCAAAATGTACAGGGTCTTTATGTAAAGTGCCTTTAAATCTAAAACTGATAGTGTCACATTTGCCTCTTTACCGAGAAACTGCGTTTGAGGACAAACACAAATTTCCCATACATTTACTTAATTCACAGTGAAGTAGATAACACAGTAGTGAAATTATCCACAGAGCTTGGAAAAGTCATTTATTTCAACTACAACTCCCAGAATCCTGCTGAAAGTATGAGAGTTGCACTTTAAGTAAGTAACTTTCCCACGCTGTAATGTATTTATTTATTTTGTATTCTCCCTTTTCTCTAGTCTTGGGTATTAACAAGCATTAAAATAAATACAGATAAATGCTCATATGGGTTAACTCCCCCACACTAAAAGTTAAAATTTAATTAAACTATTCACAGAACTTAAAAGGCAGAATTTGCTTGGTCAGCTATAAATATGTAACCTAATGTTATTCATTTGTACAGTGGTTTGAACATTGGACTATGACTCTGGTGATTAGGACTCGATTCCCAGTTTAACCATGAAAAACCACTGTGTCACCTTGGGAGTGTCACACAGTCTCAGCCCCAGTAAACCCTGGGACAGGGTCACTTTGGGATTGCTGGAAGTCAGAAATGACTTGAAGGCAAGGGTACTTCCTAGTTTAGGGGATATGTTGTGACTGTGAAAGTCTCCTAATCCCCACTTACCAGTTAGCAGCCACTGTGATCAATGGCAGTCTGTTCCCCTGTCAGTTAGGAAGAAGAAAACTGATGTTCACACACACACATGTACCACTTGTAAGAGCAATCTCTGGTGCAAGGGGAAATTGTTACAAGGACCTCACTCTGCCTGTCATAACAGAGATCAATCATGGGAGGGGGTGGGAACAATATCAGTTGCTTCCCAAGTGATAGGAGAATGGATTTGCATTCATCACAGCAGCTACTGCCAGGTAAGTGGGGATGAGGTGTCAGGATGGAGTTCACTGTTTAGCTACATAGTAACTATAATGGTTACACATTTGTAACTGCCTAAGTGAATTCTGTCCACCTATTAAAAAGCAAAACAACAACAAAAGAACCGTTGTTGTTCTTCTATGCCTTCAAATCATTTCCAACTCATGGTGACCCTAAGGCAAACCTATCACAAGGTTTTCTGGGGCTGAGAGTGTGTGTTTGCTCAAGGTCAATCAGTGTGTTTCCATGACTGAACAGGGAACTGAACCCTGATGTCCAAAGTTGTAGTCCAGTGCTCAAACCACTACACCACTCTGTCTATAGTACATTATAGTATTAAAAGTACCTTTCCCATAAAACCAACCAGTTTCCAAAGGCTGATCAAAATAAAAAGGAGTCTTCAACGGTTGACAGAAGGACATCATCCAGGAAGCCAGTGTAACTATTCCAAGAAGGAAATTCAACAATCTGGCAGAAGCCACCAAGAAGACTCTCTTTTAGAAGGCACAGCAGACAATGTAGTGCTTGTGCCAACTTAGAAAGTGTATGTAACATGGTTATATATAATGCACAACAGGTAAGACAGACACAAAGTCAGACAGCTAAAATTCAGATACTCTGTTACAGAGCTAGCAGTTTTTTGAGAACTTAATGTAAATGAAATATTTGTATGGCCAGAATGGTGTATGTGTGTGTGCTGGAAATGATTGTAGTTAGCAATAATTGCTAATTGTTGAGGCTGACATAGCAAGGACAAATAAGAATAGTGATGGGAAAGATTGCTTCAGCTTGACTAAGAAGTTCACAGAAGCAAAACAACCACAAATACTCCTATGACTCTTCTAATGTTGTTGCTTCTAAAAAAGTCAATTTACAAATGAACAACTTGTGATATTTAACATTCCTTTCACAAGCACTGTATTAAGTGGTTGCCTTGCTAGAAGCTACAATTGTCAATCATGACACAACTCACCTTTTTCCTCCCCCTCACCTGCCATTTACATCTTAAATGGCAGTGTGAAAATATTATTAATTGGCCAGAAGTTGGGAGACCTTCTAAGAAGCATCCTTCCAACAAAGACCAACATTCTGGGAGTGATGCACCTTACTGTTGATCTATCATACAAGATTCACTGTCCTTCTTTGACCTTCAGTTTTCAGGTTTGAAACATGAATCAGGTTTGAAAACTGAAGGTTGCACTTGATTATGTGTTAAATGTGTAACATGTAGCTCAGAGGCAGCCCACTTCTGAACCGACTCATGGCATATAAGTAGATATAAACTTCCCACACCAATTTTTTTTCAACTAAATTATAGGCCCCCTGTACAGGAGCTAAAAAAAGAGGCAAAACTCATGAGAACAAATGGAAGTGTTCCTTTTTAAATCCCTGCCATGGGGAGGGGGGGGATGGCTTAGCTCAGTTTTTAAATATTAGTGTACGTAGAACCTTAAAATTCTCAATCCCTGTTGCTTTCTAATGGTTACTGGTGTGAAACTGTTACTAGATGCTATATACAATGCATTTAACTTATTCTTTAACTAGATGCTATGCAATCAACTTACTCTTTATCTTAATTATGAATGAGGCCCATTGAATTTAATTCTGTTTTCAGTTCTGAAGTATGCTTGTTTTGTTGAACATGGATGAAACAGTGTTCATTTTAACTACACATTTTACATGAGTGTGTTTCAAATTCAAGTCCAGAATGCAATGTGAACTCTTTTAGGATACCAAGTTGGATGAGAAATGCCATTTGGCTTCATGTGAATTATTGTTTCCTGCTGCAAGTATTACAGCCCACCTCTAAAAGCCTATGATGGTTCTTTGTGGCAAGGATAATTTCACAGTAATTTCTGAAGCTATTCTGCCTGATTCATGTGTGAAATCAATAATGTGTAAAGTTCACTTAATAATAACTGATCCTATGTGATTAGTGGATGAGAATGAACAGCATATACCAAGGGAAATCCATACAAGGAAAGCTTTCACTTTTAATGATAGGCATATGTAATATACTGAGAACATGAACTGTTGAGTAAATTATCAGTAAACTTTCCAAAAATAGCAGACCAAAGGTAGGTATTGCTGATCATCAATTGCCAGCATTCTCTGTCATTGGTTTTGCTAGGAGTGGTAGCCCAACAGCATCTAGAGAGCTACTTGCACTGAACAACAGCCTAAATCAAGTTTTTAGTCCCAACTAGAATAAACCCATTCTATCAATGCACTGTTGGTAAGTGTTGACTTACCAAGTTCTCATTGATTCAATGGGTCTACTCTTGTAGAGACTAAAAATTAATTTTAGACCAATTAATGTATCTATGGTCCAAAACACACTGCAGAAATCATCCCGTTTGAGACCTCTTTAGCTGCCCTGGCTAAATGCTAGGGAATCCTCAGAACCGTAGTTTTGTGAGACGATTAGCCTTCTTTGCCAAAGAGCTCTGGTGCCACGATAAACTAAAATTCCCAGGATTCCCTAGTACTGATCCAGGGCAGTTGAAGCAGTCTGAAAGTGGATTATTTCTTCAGTTTGTTTTAGACCTATGCATTTCAGATCAAGGCTATCTAAATTAAAGCTTTCAACATTATAGGTCATGGAGCAAAAGACAGTGATGAATGAATATTGAAAACATCTCAAATTGTAAAGATAGATTTCTTGAGTGCCAGGAACCCTGACATAGAAAATTCCAGACAGGTAACAAAAAATCTTTGCACGTTGGAACTTTTTTTCTGTGTGAAAAAAGTAGAGTTTTTTGTTCAGTAAATGACATTTTCTGAGCATAAACCAAATTTTGTGCCTAGAAAACAGCATTTTCTGAACAGGTTTCTGCCATTTACTCACCCACCACCACCACAATAACAACAACAAAACATGCATTTATTTGAACAGAATATGTCACGAACTGGTAATAGTCTTTGAAACCTGCACAGTTTTTTAAAATAACTTTCTCTCAGTAAGGAGAAAAATTGTACAATCATTTGTTCTTGCCTGTGGGAATGAAATTTATGAAGATTTCATACCAAGTTCAAGCATGGTGATGTGACTTTACTCACTATATTTTTCTAAAACCAGCTGCTTTTAATTCCTCTCTTTCTTTCATATTGGGGTTTGAAACTCTGTAGGGTTTTTCCACATAGTAGTTTTGGTACATTTTAGTGCATTTTTGCTAATGTGAGATTTTATTTATACATTTTTAATCTAATATATTCATCTTCACCATTGATTAAAATGTTTTTGCATTTCTTTTTAAAATTGTTAATATTTTGGCTCTTTGCATTATTAAAATGCATATGTTTTTGTTGTGTATTTCTTGTAAATGCCCCATGAGCCTTGCAAAGGTGTACGTAGCCTATATGAAATGTGTTTCTTTCTCAAACAAGTCTTAAGGAGTGCAAAAATTCTACTTTTGTTGACACTGTCAAATTCTTTCCCATACCTTGTAATCAGATGTTGTCAGCTGAAGACAGGACAAAGTGTTTTCCTAATGCAAGGATGGGCCAAGTCTCACTTTTTGAAAAATGGCCTACTAAGAATTATTGATTTTCATCGGACTGGATCTAGACTTGGTCATATTCAAGGAACAGATCCACTGAAATCAGTAGGACTTTGTCATTATTTATGGCAAAGTACATTTTATACTGTGCAAATTGGCTGTCTACTTGAGAAATAATAATGTTATGTTAACTGTCTTATTGGGGGCTAGTCACTTTTTCCTATGAAGAATAAGAAGGAAACCAGGAAGTTATGTACAGTCTTATGATTACTTTGCTTCAGTTCACACAGGCTACATCTGCATTGCAGAAACAATGTAGTTTGACACCACCTTAACTGCCATGGCTCAATGCTGTGGAATTCTATGGTTTGTAGTTTTGTGAGATAGTTTGCCTTCTCTGTCAGAGAGTGCTGATGCCACAACAAACTACAAATCCCAGGATTCCATAGCATTGAGCCATGACAGTTAAGCTGGTGTCAAACTGCATTATTTCTACAGGGCAGATGCAGCCACAGAACCATTGGGATCTGAAAGAGTAAGCAGATAAGCACACCTTCTTATCACACTTAGCATTTTTATTGTGGAAAGAGGTCTACATGAATATAAAATATGTGTGGTCACACAGTTTAGTCTGCTTCAGAAGAAGTGACCAGTAGACATAATATTTCCATAAGATTTGTGGAAACCTGCTCTGTCGTCAATATGGAGGAAGAAATGGTTCAAGAGAAGAATGACTATCCATTCGGTAGTAGTTACACTGGAGTTCCAAAGTTCCTGCAACAGATATCTTACCAAGTATGCCATAACCTTAAGATCTTCAGGAGAAGTCTTTCTTGGTCCTGCCACCATCCCAGGCTTCCACCTCTGCAATACTCTTCCATGGGAGGCTGAGCTTGGCTCCCTACTTTTCTTTTTAAGCAGGCTTTTAATACGTACTAGCACCCAGGGAGGCTTCTTTTGGGGGGTGTTTGTCTGGTATGTTTTTAGTGGTTTTATACACATGGGGCATGTGTGGCCAAGTAACATCAGAGTGTGACCAAGATGACAAAAGTTATTAATGAGAATGAATACACAAGCTAGGAGAGGCCACAGAAATTTGCTTTTGACTGAGCATACCGGGAATGGCAAGTTTCCACCCGTTTCTCTCCTTTCCCAGCTGTTGACTTAACTGAGTATAAATTACATTTGCAGGTTGAACTAAGTTCGTAGCTATCGAAATAAGTTGAAGACAAAGGGAGAAACTGGAAGGAGAGAAGCTGAAAAAATGGGACAACAGATGATTAATCAGAACTGTCCCTGCCAAATTGGGACAATAGAAGGGTATGGCTAAATTTGTACATTTGTATTAAGCAGACTGAGAAAACCCCATAGCTTAGCAGAAGACCATATGCATTGCCTACAAAAGGCCTCAGATTCAATCCCTAACATCATCCTGCCTCAAAACCTGCAAAGCCATTGCCAGTCAGCATTGAGAGCACTAGATAGATGTCTGAATGGCTGAACACTGTATAAGACAGTGTTCTCGTGTTCATAGATTAAGAAACTGTGCTTACCAATATCTGTTTCAGGAATTATTATACAAGATAGACAAGTACCTAAATTCAGTTGTGGGTCCAAATGTGTCTAACTTAATAGACTCATTAAACCAATGGGAATTTGTTAAGGCAACAATTATATAAGTTCCACTAATTCAGTGATTCTGCTTTCTTTAGGACTAACAATGTTGCTCAAGCAGACAACACAAACCATTCCTGACCAGAATACTTCAGAATTTTGATGGATGTGCACCTTTTCAGCCATATCAAAGAGTCGTCAGTTA